GGGATGATCTGTAGGGCAATTCTACTTGTTTTCAAACGTCAGAGAAAAATACTTCACTAATAAATTTTGTCTTTCTGTAATGTAATCATACGATATGCTATACTTCATCCAATTTTAAATAAATCCTATCTTTTTCTTAGTCAGGCACGCTTTCACACCTGTTCATCATACTTTGCTGATGGACATTGCAACATTCAATTTTAGGTCATACCCATGAGGCAGAGGCACTGAAAATACCGATACATATTTTTTTTACAATGCCATGGACGTAAGTCTTATTGGTAATGTAATCTTACTTCTTCAGCATTTTCTAGTCTGAAAAATTTTATTTCATGTTTTTCGATAATTGTTTATTAGTATTGTTTTGCGGTAAATTTAAATCTGCATTGTGTGTACTGTCTTCTTCCTTCAGGCCTACCAGTGAATTTCCACATCGTTTGTGCTGTGTAAAGCAACCGGCTGGACATAGGGTGAGTTTCTTAAATTTGTATCAGTTCTCATGATTCCTTCACTTTTCTTTGTCCACGTATTTTAATTGGAGATCAGTCATGTATAACAATTTCAGCTTTCATATCAAATTGTTGACTCATTGATTTGGCTGGGAGTACGAGACATGATCAATGATCTTAGGAAGAAAAAGTTGAAGCTCCGGCCAGTCACGTACTAAAGTAGTTCACAAGGCTCTGGTAATGATGTGCCACATGCATAGATATGGAGCCCTCCTAAACCGAAAGGTTTGTTTTAGATCTCAATCATGACATTTATATTTATAGTCATATTCATACGCTGCACATCTAAATAGTGTTTCATGTCATAACAGTTCGTTGCTCTTGATTCTGGTCTTTATATATCTTTACTTTATGTTGTTGTCCTTTGGTGCCAAATGAAAGGGGTGCTTGATGAAATTATTTCTTTCAATTAAGGAAAATGTTTCGTCAAAGACAGTGTGCTTTGCTGTTGAGAAAAGCCTCAATTAATCTTGGGCATTTCGCTTCCTCTTCCTTCCTTTTTCATTCAGTGAATAAATTCTTCACTCCACTCCCCCCCAGGGGAAAAAACCCCCAAACAACAACCCAAAAAAAAAAAAAAAATTTCCCCTTAATTTTTCTCCCTCAAAGTAAGTTAACCTCTTCCACTGGTTATATTGTTTCTTTTTCTCATCCTATTTGAACCATTAACTCCATGTAGAAGGTGTGTCAAGTGCTTGAAACATAACCTGTATTATCTTCTGCTGCCAGACCCATGACAGGAGCACCTAATCTCTGTTATTTCTTGGTTTGCAGACTGGGGTCCAAAAATTGATGTTGTTGGGTTTTGCTTGCTTGATCTTGCATCAAACTATGAACCCCCAGAGTCACTCGTGAAGTGGCTTGAGGAGGGTGACAAGCCTATTTACATTGGATTTGGTAGCCTGGTAAGTCTTCTTATTTCCATTATGCATTTTGGCCATATCATTCCTGTTTGCTAAAACACATTTGAACTTTATGTTGTCTTCTTCAAAAAAGATTCATGCATTTCAATTTGGTTCTCATATACAATGGGCAGGAAATGGTTTCCAAGACGTGCCAATCTGCTACGTCAGTTAATCGTTATATAACTTGCCTCTATCATAATTTACAGAGGGTCTACTCTGCAAAGGGTTCTTTTTTTTTTCCCGCTTGTTATAAACACGTAAAAGACTATTGAAAATATCATTTCAGATGAGAATCAAATGGTCCTATTGATTGTTTTTATCTATTTTTCAATGCTGAATGAGATAAAACATCCTAAAATTTTGAAACTAAGGTTCAGGAATTATACTTAATTACCATATACTTAAAAGAGCCATTATTAGTTAATTGCCCCCTGGTTACTAAGTCTTTTAGCTCCTTGATGATGAACTTATGTAATATAAAGGATAATATACGAATTATGAGGATGTTAGTACTATTGCATCCATAGTACAATTTGGTACTTCCCCTATTTGAAGTTTTGTCCTTTTTTTAATGATTGTCTGTCTGTTATACTCGAGGCTTCATATACTGCTAAATAATAAAGAAAGGAATTAGGATTTCATGAACTGATTTTTATTTTATCTTTGCTCTTTTGATCTTATTTACTTCATGTTTTTCTCATACACTTATTACAACCAGTTCAAGAACCAGAAAAAATGACTCAAATAATTGTAGGGGCATTAGAAAAAACTGGACAGAGGGGCGTCATTAATAAAGGATGGGGAGGTCTTGGAAATTGTAAGATAAAATCTTACTTTCTTCTTCTGTAGTAATTGTTTTTGGTTTTAAACTATTTATGCTTCTTCTCAGTGGCAGAGCCAAAAGACCCTATATGCTTAATGGATAATTGCCCTCATGACTGGCTATTCATTCTTGCGCTGCAAGGCCGTGGTGAGATCCTCCGTTTCTATCAATCATGGTTTGGCACAATTTCAAAGATACTTTGACATCAGGAAATCACTAACATAAATCTCATAATTCTCAGAAATTTGTGTCACGGTAGATGTAGAGGAGTTTTAGTGTTAGCCAGCTAAATTGCTTGACATGCTATTAATCTCCATCATAGGTAGTTATTGCATGATGGTAGTTATCTTAGGTGGTTTAGGCTATATTTGGTATTCTGTTTGCAAGACCCAAACCCACTTACAAAAAAAAAAAAAAAGCACTCATAACCTCTCATTTATTTTCCTAGACTCATGTTTGAGGCAAAGCAAATCCTAAACCCATGTTTGAACCAAATCAGCCATGATCTTGCTTTGTCTGCTTCGCATTTAATTTAAACACGTTTTGCAAACTCGAATCCAAACATACCCTGAGGTGTCCAAGATTCCAAGTCAGGGTCAATGAAGTGAACAGAGACTCTAAACTATGATTGGATCCTGGACCAAAGCCCAACCATAAACTAAGCTGAGTCCAAATTTTAGGCTGAATTGTAGTTCATCTCATGAATGTGAGACACAACGGCCCGGCTAAATCTATATGGCTGTAAGAGAAATTCACTTCATATGGTCATACATAAGCCTAATAATAATAAGTGCATCCAAGTTTACTTTGTCTGGTGTGTGTTGATGCTGATCTGACGATGCTCAAAAAGATTTGACTTCAATTACTTCACTGCTAGTAAATTTTTTTAACGTCTGTATTGCATCCTAGCAAAAAAAAGAAAAGGCTATTAAACTCAGATAATAAATAAATAAATAAACAAAAGTGGTCATCGAACAGGTTTAGTTAGCAAATGGAATAAGGTTTTATTTTTAACGTCTTTATTGCATCCTAGCATAAAAAGAAAAGGCTATTGAACTCAGATAATAAATAAATAAACAAACAAAAGTGGTCATCGAACAGGTTTAGTTAGCAAATGGAATAAGGTTTTGTTTTTGTTAGCTACATGATAAGTCTCATTCCTATCCGCAGAATTTTCTATAGGAAATTTTGATTTTTCATTCTTAATGATGTACTTACAGACCTCTCTGTTTCTTTTTTGGTAAAATCTCTCTCTTTTTGTTTACTTTTTGTTGTATTTGCAAATTATTATTCTTTTCCCCGTTTCTTGCAGGTGCATCATGGAGGTGCAGGAACTACGGCTGCTGGGCTAAAGGCTGCAGTAAGTAATTTGTAGACCCTCTCTCTGTGCACAATAGATCAAATACAAATAATTGAAATATAATACTACTACCTATCTTGAGTTGTTACGGCCAACGTTTAAGAAATTGGGGCAGAAACCCCCCACCTATTGTGCCTTAAAAATCTCCCGTCATATGCACATCTTCTAGGAGCAACTTAAAATGAAGCCTATTCCTAACTTAAAACAATGGCCTAATAAAATTATCCGAATCCAACACAAAAAAAATATGATCTTCTATTCTACCAACAACTTGACGATTTTAGATTTGCGATCCATCAACATAACCAAGTTTCATATATTCTGATTCTATCTTTTTCTTTTAAAGAAATTATTTATTATTATTATTATTATTATTATTATTATTATGTTTTTTTAAAATGATTTTTATGTTTCCTGGTAGTGCCCGACAACCATAGTCCATTCTTTGTTGATCAACCATTTTGGGGAGAGCGAGTACATGCCAAAGGAGTTGGTCCAGAACCCATCCTAGTTGATGAGTTTTCTCTACCTAAGTCGGTTTGACGCAATAAATTTTATGCTAGATTCCAAGGTAATATAACCTTCTGTCACTTTTAAGTTTGATAATATGAAAGCCAGCAAAAAGAATCATATATATATATATATATATATATGTCAGAAGTGAAGACGGACCTTAACCACTCCACGCATGGTCTGCTAATTATTGACGCATGATACTAAAACGTGGATTGTGATGCAAAAAAGCAATTTATGAGAGATATACTTGTCTCTGCTTTTGCTTGCTAGTTGAGAAGAACTCGTTTTCAGCTACGATGATAGGACTTGCCTATCGCCCATGGTTGAGATGTCGTGCAGAGCATTTCAGTTATTTGAAACTCTAAGGAAGTTTATGATTAGCAGTGCAGCAGAAATTCTATCACCATCATGTTTATATGTGCAATATGATGTGATTCCAGGTAAAGGATCGTGCACTTGAACTAGCAAAGGCCATAGAAAACGAGGATGGCGTGGAAGGAGCGGTGAAAGCATTATTTAAGCATCTTCCTCGGAAGAAACCAGAGTCTGATCCCGAACCCAAGCCATCAAGTTTGTTCTCTATACGTAGATGTTTTGGTTGTTCCTGGTTTTGATCAAGCAAGTTGTGCAGTTCCCACCTCGTAATCTATAATTTGAATTACAGTATATAGTTTCTGAGTTTGTGAAATGTGCTTTACGCATTCTTCTGCTTTCAAATATCAGTTTTTATTCTGATAAACATATGATATGATGAACATTAAGATGGTAGATAACACATTTATCAATGTATTGATGAAACACGAATCCATTCTGCTCCAAAAGACGCTAGCAGAAGACAAACAAATCCTGTTTTGTTTACATTGAACAGGGAAACTCAGAAACAAAAACACAAGAGAGAACAACGTCACTGATGCTACCATGAACAACGTCTTTATGATCACGTTCCTTCAATATTGCAAGTAACATGCAGAACGATCCTGTTCATTGGATCCAACATGACGCATTACTTATAATGTACATTAGACAAACTATAAATGAATATACATAAGTAAATATATACTGAAAAAGTCAAAGCAAGTAAATGTCCAAGAGAATCCACAAACTTCAGGACTCAATGAAATCATGCAGCCTACTGGACCTGTTACGCAACAACACTAAGGATTCCTCCACCGAAGATAACTCCTTGTTGATGGACTCAAGCTGAGCTTTCAAATTTGAAGCATGATCTTCAGCCTCCTTAACCTTCCTCTTGAGGTCTTCTCCATCTTCACATTCCTCAATGCAGCCATGCACGTAACTGATCCAGGAATCATCAAAGCCAACCCCTTGCAACGCTGTGCAACATTCTCTGATGTAGTTTCGATCATCTTCGGTCAAGTCAACTCTTCGAGTGGTCCTCAAGATATGAGTCACCTCAGCAAATAAGGAAAAGAAAGAGGAAGCAAACACTCTGCGTCGCTTTGTGTTGAGCCAACCAAGCACCTGAGGATGTCGCCTCACCCCAGCCTCCAAATATGGCATGCTTTTCTCAGGAATGTCAATCATTCCCTTGTCGCTTCTATAAATGTTCGATTTCTCTATTGATGAAATCATAGGTTCTGAAGCTTGTGAAGGTGATGGATCAAGAGCTGAATCAACAAGCAAGGAGGGAAAAAAAAAAGTTTGAGGCAAGTTTTGAGAAAATGAAAAAGTTCTGCGAAAATTGCAGTTCTTTCCCTATCAATTCATTTCAAATTGATCGGAGCTTGCAAATCAATACCTGCTTCATGAATCATGGTTGAGCTTGGAACATTTTGAGCAGCTGGAATTGAAGACTTCTGAATAGTATCGCATATCTTTTGAGTCTCAATACATGAATCATGTAATTCTTCTGGTACATTTTTATTAACATGATAACAGACTTGTTAGTTCATCCAAAGAATAATACCCAAAAAAGAAAAAGATACAAAACAGGATAAGAACCTGTATTTTGTGTTGTGGCAAGTTTCTCCGCATCTTGGCCAGTTTGAATCAAGGATTTATCCGTGGTGTCATCAATCTCTTGAGTTCCAACAGCTAAAAAACAATAAAAAAAAATTTATGAGAAAAGAGTTTTTTTCAAAATAAAAATAAATTACTTCTTTCTGAAGAGAAATAAATCCGTTACTTTCTTTTTTGTCACTGGTCACAAAAGTTTTGGGTTGGTTGAACAAATTTTTTCTGGAACTAGTTTTTGACTCGTGTGATTCTTCTAGCAAATTTCAGTTAACATGACAGAAAATCAAAATCATGAATTAATTAAGCAAGAGTATTAGATCAAGATCCATCAAAACAGGATTAGGACCTATGTCCTGTACTACAACTGATCTCTGCGCTTCCTGCGCAGCTTGAATTAAGGGTTTCTCAGTAGTCTCATTCACATCTGGAGTCAAAAAGCCAAACAAATAAGTTTAAAAAATACTCAGCTAACAAAATAACGCAAGGTATTGTAAAGGGGGAAAAAAAAAGCTTCTAAAATTTAAAAGACAAGAAGTCATTTGAAGCTTTTTTCTCTGGTATATTTGAGTTGGCACGATATAAGGTTATGGTAGTTAATGAGGCAAAAGAATACAGAATACAAAGAAAAAAAAAATGCAAGGACATACATGAGGCTTGGGTGAACGAACTTATAGGAAGCCAAATTTCCAAGTCACATGATGTTTTCAAACGATTTCTCACATGATAAGAAGTTAGAAACATTAATTATGAAAATGAGTACTACAACAAGGTCAACCCATGGATCCTGAAATGCAGTAGAAACTGGTTCCTTTAATAGTTATAATCAATGGTCTTTCAGTGACATTGCATGTATATCTGTTAAGTCTTAATACGAAGTGAATAAATAAAAAATACTAATTCTATAATGCAAATTATTTGACATGAGGTTTTAACAAAATAAAAATAATTTCCTTCCCTCTAACGAGAGCGATAACAATGGTGGTGGAGATCTGATTAAGAAAATTCTCAGAAATGGGAACTTTTAAGTTAGTGATTCTTCTGTAGTTGATTTTATTTCCCATGATAGCAAGTAAGGATAATTTCTTCAAATGAACTATGCCTATATGATCAGTACAATCAAAATGTGTGGTTGAACTTTCTACAGAAGAAAGAAGGTCATGGAATGTAACGAAGCAGAGTGACGATATTTCAGTTACAATATAGGTATTGTGGTCCGGATGATCAAATTTTAACGTGGACAAATTTGTGAGCCTTGTAATTCCTCTAATATATTTCAATTCGCATAAAAGAAAGTCAGAAAAAATAAATAAGCCAAGTACTATAATGGACATGCATTACCCTATAAAAAGCAATTTAGATAATCTGTCACATGTTAAAATAATATTAGTACCTGCATCACAAACTCCTGTGGGGCTAAGAGCACTTTTAGCAGCTTCAACCAATGGCCTTTCAATTTTCTCACCCATCTCTTCAGTCCCCTTAGTTAAACCTGTTAGTTTTAAAAAATTGAGAGTAAATAGAATGATATAACATTTTAACAAAATAAAAAATATCTTACATCTAAACATTGCGAAGAAAAATAAAACCAAAAGAAGAGGAAGAAAGAAAAATATTACTTTCTTTATTGTTGACAGTTGTAGCTTGCTTGAATAGATTCTTGCTAGATTGAGTCTCTGAGTCTTGTGATTCTTCTATTAGTTTTCAATTCCCGTAATAGCATATTAGAATCAATAATTAATTAAAAAAAACGTAGAGCTTTGTTTCAAGGAACCTAAACAAAGCTCCTCTCAGACTGAGGTTTGTAGATAAAATAATTAATAAATTCCTTCTTTCTTACACGTGAAAGAAATTATTTATGTATGTTCTCTGTGGCTAATACTAAAGGTGGTCATTTAACTAAACGATTTGGCATCTTCAGAAGTTTTCTAGTGCTGTCAATTATTTTTAGATGATTTCGGATTATAAAAATCAGAATGCGCAGTACCTCACCAAAAAAAAAAAATTAGTCAAGCCAATTAATATGATAACAAAGTGTCACTAAGCACTCTACTGAACACAAGAAATCAGTCATTAAATATACCAAAGGATAGTGATAGTGATAAATACCTAATACACTCAAACCTGTAAAAGAAATTAAGGCCAAAGTCAAAGAAACATGTGATTATTTATGGCAAATAGCAGAGTGCAAGGCAATCTCAATACCTTTTTCTTGATTTGTAGAAGGGCTGGAGGCAATTTGAGTAACCGGAGCCAAAGGCCTCTCAGTACCTGACGAGGCTTGCTCATTCAGCTCTTTGTCATAAGATTGACTTGGAAGTTTGTGTGTTTCTTGCTTCCCAGTGTCTGCAATTTGATTAGGCTTCCATTGTCCTACTTGCTCCCCAGAGCTTGATGCTGTGGTAGTACTGGAACTCATTTGATGAGTTTGACTGCTTTTGGTAATATCACTGGAAGATTCCTTATAGTTCCCTTCGTCTCCTTCTCGAGTTGCCTGATTAAGGTAGGCACACAAGATATTATATCTTGACGGCAACGCACATTTACATTCAATATTTTTACCCATATTTAAGTTTTCATTTGACTGTGTTTAAGTTTTACATATTTTTTCAGTCAATCATATTTTGCTGCAGCAAAATATTGTCTAACTTTAGTTCTTTAGATTTTACAAATGGAGGTTGAGACACATACACGATATTACAGGAGTGTCAATCATCTCAGAATTTATTTTTTAGCATACATACCTCTGTGAACAAATGGTGGATAGTGGTGTTAAGGTCTTCTTTCCAGTGTCTTTTCCCATTTTCCACTGTCACTGATTTTAGAAATGGGGCAATAATGATTCCAGACGAGAAATTTTGCATTTTGGGGCATCCTGTCACTTTCAATGTCACCAAAGAGGGGAATATGAAGGTGTGTTCCCCAGAGCAAAAGCTTTTGAAACTTGATAGACAAGTTAGTCCCAAATACGACAAGCTTTCAAATATGATTTCTTCTTCTGATCTTCCTTCATTAGTCATCACAACCTCCTCTAGGATTCCACAATTGCTAATTGTTAACCTTCTGAGGTGGATGAGACTTTTAGCCATGAAAGGTGTCATGAAGTACATCAAGTCATTGCAATCCTCTACTTCCAAGATGGTTAAACTTGCGAAAGATGTCGAAGGTGGTGCCAATCTTCTTAACTTCGAACATTGCGCTATATACATTTTTTCAAGATTTTGAACCAGGGGATGTGATGTTGAGTCGTCATCATTCCATATATGCTCAAGCTTCTCCAATTGAAATAGCCACAACATTTTAATTTGGGCGGGGCTTCCAATACAACAATGATTAATTTCTTCCGAATGAAAGAGTGTTTCAAAAGAACTGCAACGCACTTGTAGTGTGTTTATAGCTGGAAATATTTGGATTAAATCATTCAGAAACTTTATTGGAGTTCCCTGAAAATATTGCAAACGAAGCCTTTTGATGCTCTGAAAGAGATTTTTCTCATAGTTTCCATTCAATATCCTCATAGTGTCCTTTTCATTTAATGGCAACTCCTCCAAATTTTGAGACACCTGAAAAAGAGAAAATATTATTTGTTTCTTTCATCATATAATCTACTAATAAGTGAACATAAAACAATTTTTTATACTTTTACAAACCACATACATAATTATAGTTTTCCTCAGCCATGCATCTTTTTGTCTAGAGAAAAAAAAAATGTAATTAAACGCAGATAGAAGGAAAAAAAAAAAGAAAGGATGCATACCTTTTCAATATAAAACAAAGCTTGCTCAATTTTTGACTCATTGTCACCCTCCCTAAGCAGTTGGGAATTCAAATGGTCAAATGCAAATATTTGCAATCCTTCACATCCACGAACATTTAACTCCTTCAACGAAGGACACTCTAGAGTATATCTTTTAGGATAGAAATTAGTAAGCTGTGTCAGATTCAATAAGCTCAAGATTGTTAAACGAGGAAAATCAAACTTGAGTTCCTCGGATCCTTCTTCAATTGAAACAATCTCCTCAACACTACAGGACTCAATGTGAAGCTCTTCAAGTCGCCTCAAGCCTTGGCATAGTGAGACCGAAAACAAACATGTCAGGCGTTGGCATTTATCAACTTTCACAATCTGTAAATTTTCAAAGCTGATTATTTCTCCGGCTTCTCTGTTCCATATGCATTTCAAATTTGGAAGCCCAGAGAGTGTTAATTTCTTCAACCGACTAACTTCCTTTGATCTATTGCTTTCTCATCCAATGCTTTTACATCAAATACCACTTCTAATGAATCACACTCTGATACTTCCAGTTCCTCTAATGTATATAACAATCGCAGTAAATTTGATGAAAAAATCACGTTGGACAAGAATGTACATTTTCGCACCACTAGATGCTTCAAATTGCAGAATATATTTGGCCCATCTTGGCCATACCATAGTTCTTTCAGTTCTGGATATACAGAAAATTCCAAAAGATTGAAGCTACTAAATGCCACCTGTGCAAATAATTATCAAGGTAAGGGAAAACACAATAAGGGCACCGAAGCAAATTAAACAATAAAATTTTGTCACTTTCAGTTAGTACAATTAATACTATTCAAACAAAGTATTAACTGACAATTATGTTGGCAGAAACAAAAATTATAAAAATATCTAATTCACAGCTAAACACAGCCTCATCTTCATTTCGTTAATGCTTTTACAGTAATGGCACCAATATATGATTCTGGATTACATGAGGAATTTGTATTTTTTTTAATTCATCCAAAAGTTAAGATATATCCAAATAGATACACCAAGAAATAAGATGAGTGAGTAATAAAGGCTAATAAAAGCCATACAATCATGAAAATAAATATTTACAATAAAAATTAAAGATATTTCCATAATCATTTTTCTTTTTACATAAACAATTGGCTTTTCTGACACTTTGTTTATACCATTTTCTCATCATATGTCAGGGGAATAAAGAATGATTTTTTAGTGAAATCAAAACATACCTTGTCGGCAAACATCTTGTTTATTGTCTTATTCAAATCGCCTTCCCAATACACGTTTCCATCTTCTTCTTTTGATGATATCTTTCGAAGCTTTGGTGTGCTTGTGTCTCTCCCAGCTGAGAAGGTGTTCATTCTTGGGCAATGCTCAATGACAACTTCTTTTAACAACGGAAAGATTAAGAAGCAATTGGAGGAGCAAAACCTCTTGATCATTGGCAGACATTTGAGCTTTAAAATTTCCAAGCTTCTGAATGCAATTTCATCTTCAAATTCCTCCCTCTTTTCCGCCACAACTTGCTCAAGTGAATTGCACTTCGTTATTTTCATTGTGGTTAATTTGACCAGGCTTCTTGCAGTTGATGAGGTAATCAAGTGAAGCAATCCGTTGCAATTTACCACCTCCAAATGTGTCAGGTGATGAAATGTTACGGAGGAAGGTGCTAAGTGTCTCAAATTGGAACAATCATAGACCAGTAAGTCTTCAAGAACCTCTAGGACTGGATCTATTCGAAATCCTTCTTTGCATATGTGCTGGAGATCATCCAAGTGCCAGAGTGTCAATTCTTTAAGTCGTGCTCCAGTTTTATATTTTCTTTTGTCATCTATAGGTATTTCTTCTTGGAATATCTCCCTGAAAGAACTCCATTCAACAAGTAGATCATTGACAGCTGTTATGTTTTGGAGAAGCCAATAGGGAAAAGTGGCATCATCATCTTCAAAATTTGCCAAGATAAGAGATTTGAGTTTGTTGAAGTGTTTTCGTGAAAATTGCCCTTGTAATATCATGCTTGCATCCTCATTATTTAGGGCCAACATCTCCAAGTTGCAAATTACCTGAATATAGCATAAACGAAAAAGCATTGGATCCAAAGCAATATAACTAAGCAGATGCAATAGTGAGGCAAGAAGCGAGTAACGAATGCACGCATAATAAAACCTGATTAATTTTTTTGAATATATAAAATTATTATGCATGCAATGAGATATTTATGGTACCTCTTCAAGTGCAAAAAGAGGCTGCTGCAATGAGAATTGGTGTTTACTATGAAAAACTTCTTCTTTGCAACTTGAACTTTTTGTGTCTTGAAGAGCCTCAGTTTCCTACATTGACGAATATCTATTACCCTTAATAACGGATGAAGTAAACTATGATTTCCAATAAAAAACCCCTCGAGTTGAGATAAACGCCAAAACACCAATGAGGTCAATTGATTAAACGCAAATTTGACTGGACTATCCATGGGTCCTTCGCCTGAAACAATATATTTCAAACTCCGTGCATACTTTATGGAAATACTTTCCAGTTGAGTGGCTTGCATTGCAGTGGAGAATGGAAAAAGGTATTCTAAGTTCTGACAGTCTTCAATCCACACAAGTTGCAGGTTGTGGAAACAAAGGCTTTCTTGAGCATCTTCACTCCAAATCTGTTTCAGCTTTGGCAAGTGAAACAGATGGAGTTTCTTCAATTGTGAGACTTGTTGTGTCGTTGTTTCGTCTTCATTATGGATTTCTTTGACAGTTAATTCAAATATCTCTTCCACTGAACTACAATTGCTGACCTTCAATGTCTCAAGGCTTCCAAACGTTCCCTGCACATCAGATTGGAAAATATTCGCAAGTTTCCCACAATTGCTCACCTCCAAACTCCTTAACCTATCAAATTGAAAGTGCCATACTTTCTTCAAGCTTTCCATGTCTTTAACTACCATGGTCTCCAATTTTGAGAATCGGACCTGTGATACAAAGCACAATTTACAAATCCATAATGAGCAACATTATATATGAATGATATTGAAGAAAACTACACCAGAGGAAATGTTTGATGTTATCGACTTAACATTTATTTCAAGTCTAGTCGTAATACCTCTTGTGACGCAATGCTGTTTGGAGCAATGATCTCCTCCATCATCTCACATTTGCTTATTTCAAGGTGTTTAAGTTTTAAAAGACTTCCAATCACAGAAGATGAGAATAAGTACTTGAGGCCTCTGCAATCCTCAACTATCAAGTTAGCCAAATTGTGAATACAATTGGCTACAGAAAGGTCATCATCATCCCAAATTTTTTCCACATTAATTGAGCTCAACTTGAGGGTCTCCAAACTAGAAAATTTAACCTGGGATTAATAAACAAAAAATATTTGTAAATTGTAGAGATGAACTTGCAAATTTGTCAAAAGCAAATATTATTGAATAATCATATTTAAGTGTTATTAATGGAACTGTCAAAGACAAATCAAAATATAAAAATTGAGTACTGAAAATACCCAAAAAAAAAGGGAATGACAAAAAAATTAACTCAGGAAATACTTTAAAGGCAAAATTATACCAAAATATTATTTTAAAATAGCAGTTGCTACTAAGAAAATACTTTAAGACGATAAATGTAACTCAACAAACGTTTTGAAGATTTAATAGTGAGTTTAAAATTGCATTATTTAAAATATGGGAGTAAAATTGGTTCTAAAAAATAATTTAAGGCAAAAATTGCAGTAAGAAAATACTTTAAAATACTAAGTTCTACTAAGAAAATACTTTAACAGTCTGAATATACTTTAAACCTTTATTAAATTGCACCAAAATTTAAACATTATACTCAGTTTCATCAAAATTAAAATAAAAAATATATAAAAAAATCAATTGTTGACATTTTCTTCTAGATATTATATTCAGGTTCATTTTAAAAATTACCATACATACATTATTAATGTGATAGACACATATGACGCAATCATTTGATTTAACTTGCAAACAAAGAAATGAAAGAAGAAGAAGAAGCACACCTTAGTGCCATTAAATAACGGTGTGGTTGTCATGCAAGATGTGTATTCATTTGAGCAGAAATCATGAATGAGTGGCAGATGACTGAGAGTCAAGGAGCATAGTGAATGAAACTCAATCTTATCATCAGTAGTTATGTCACTTTCCACATTTTCAATCAGCACAATCCTTTTCATTGAATTGCATTTGGAAATTTGGATCTCGGTAAGTTGAGAAAGAGCTTTCACCATTAAAATAGAGTAGAGATATTCCAATTGGTCACAATTTTCAACTTTGATGACTGTGAGCTTCCCAAAGAAATTAACAGGAAGTGGGCCATGACATATCTTCACTAAGTTATTGAGATTGTGAAGTATGAGTGTCTGCAATTCTGGAAATAAACCAAGATAAGTCTTATTATTCCTCTCCATGGTGTTGATAATATGTTGAACTTGGCCATTATTTTGGATATGGAGATGCTTTAGTACCGAAAATCCTTTGCCGTTCAAATCAAAAAGCACATTCGAAATTCCATTGACTTCATCTAAGTACAAATCTTCCACTCGTTTAATCAATGCTTTAATACCATGTTCCAAATGAATGCGAGTCTGAAGCTTCAACTTTAGCAACCTTGAGGCCCTTTTGTTGCTTGACCATTCCCATTTATCTCCAATGACAACCTTATATCTCTCTAACTTATTAAGCATCATGTCTGACAAAATCCAAGCCTCACGAATTTGAATTTCTAAAGTAGTCAAACTTGTCAAACATACAAGCTCAGCAAGGCTAGCGCATTTGTTTTCCTTAGTTGAACTTTCCTCCTCCCACTTAATTGAGGCATTGCCCATATAAAGTTCCTCTATTTTAGTCAGTTTGGACAAAATGTTGGGGTGGATGAAGTTAATTCTAGAATTGCTCAAATCCAACATTTTTATATGAGTCAATTGTCCTATTTCTCTTGGAAACTCCTCCATGTATGAATCAAGGAAACTAAGAATTTCTAGATTTATCAAGGCACCTATTCCAGCCATATGTTTCAAGGTGCATTGATCTAAACACAATGTTTTAAGTTTGGTCAAGAAAACAAGAGATCTAGGCAGTGAAGACATTATCAAGCCTCTCAAATCTAATGCTTCAAGGTTTCGCATTCCCTCAAAAAATTTGTCTGGAATTTCCAAAGTGCAAGTATCAGTGTAATGTAAGAGGAAAAATTTCAAAGTGGGGCAGTCTAACTTTTGGGGAAGTTCTTGAATATAACATGGTTTTAAGACTATCTGGGTACACGTTTCAAGAAAACCCTTGCTCGACCAATATTCCTGCATCCTATCATCATTTCTTTTCAACACAAAAACATTTTTTTTCTTAGCAATTGACAGAGCTACTTCGCGAACAAGATCATGCATTTTAATTACATCGGTCTCACTTGCATCATCCTCAAGTAACAAACAAGATGCCCTCAAGTCATGAATTACTCTGTATAGTCGATTTCTTCCATCTTCAACGTTACCATTTTGTTTCAGAACGCCCAAGCCAATTACATATTTCAACAAGTCATTAACTGACACGGATGGTCCATATGCACCACAAAGCAAGAATACTTTCTTCATTTCATCGTCTTTAAGCCGTTCGTAAGTGAATTCAAAAGCCGAAAAAACAGTCTTGCTCACATCTCCATTACCAACTCCCTCTAAATTTTTCCAGGTAGCTTTCCAATAATGAATATCCTTATTATATTTT